GCCAAATTGCTCACTAACCTTTCCCACATGTCTGTATTAGTAGTGCTAGAAAGAGTTGACATGCTAAACGTTGGTTGAAGAAATGATGGACAGATATATGGATAGATGTTAGACATCATTTCTGAATCATAATAAGAACTCAACAAGTGTTGCTTCCCTTTCCCTGTGTCACTGCTTGCAGTGACAGTGCTGTGCAAGATGGTAGGGTAGGTACTGGGGGATAGATGTTTTCTAGCTTACTTGCTGATGTGTACATTCGCTTGCTTAAAGGTAAGTGCTTAGGCTCAGTGCCCCTGAACCAGGAACTCTTAAGAAGTTGCCTTTTGATTGTGTCCCACTGTGAAGTTTCCAGTTGCCATGACAACTTCCCAAACCCTAGTGGCTGCTCCATGACCATCTGCTCTTAGTACAGGCTTGACCTGTGTGCTTTCTTCTTCCTGAATTGCAGAGACAACAGTAGTGATACAAGCATTTCCATGTATAAATGGATTCTCCGTGATGCTGTTGATTCTGATTCCCCCTCCTATTTGATCTTTCTGCATTAAGCCCTCCATTCACTATCTTCCCTTTCAGTCTTCTGTAAAGAATAATTTCCTTCCTAAAGATACGCTGCATTGGCAGCATATATATATACTTTGCTGAACAAAGTGGTAAATAAGTCCTAATTTATTTCCTCCATACTGAGACACGTAATAATGTCTGCTTTGGACATTATTATTTACCAAGGGCTTACTCTGTGTCAGGATCTGTGTTCAAGACCCCAACACTTACTGTCTTGTTTAGTCTCTACAACACCTTCCAAGAATAGACTTTTTGTTATTGTTTTCTCTGAAAGTTGTTAACTTACCCAACATGACTTCACTGCTCATAATGATTCCCGAAGACTCTGGATCACTATGACGATTTCCGTGACCTGTGGGACGTAATTAGTTCAGTGAGGGCCCAGGGAGAGCATGTGAGCCTCCCTACTCCTGTTTTTCAGTGTCCTCCTGAGTGCTGTGCAGCTCAGGTGGCATTTCTGAGTAATTAGTAACAGAAATGTCTGAGTCAAATCCATTTCGGATCTATCGTTGCTCCATGAACTAGGGATGAGAAATACTTCTTCAGGACGCCCAGGCTGCTGCTTTACGTGGCTCATTAACTGGGGCATTGACCCCCCCACCCCCAAGATAGGAGAGTCACACCTGTTTCACCATTGCAAGAACTTATTCACGCGGGACTTGTCTTCAGGTCCTCCTTTTCCCCAGAAAGCCCTCTGTTGAATCTTGAGGAGAAGTTCATTGCTGCTATAAATGGTATCTTCTAGTGGCTTGTTAGAAAATTATGGAGTAATACTTCAATTGCTTAAAGTCAAATCTATGCCAAAAACAAAAGCAAAACAAAGCATCCCAAGTCCATCTCCTTTCCTGTAGAAAACATTGATGACAGCTTGTTTATGATATTCGCTCGCTGAAATGTTTATATGATCAGAGTTTGAAAGAGACGAAAACGTGCAATTTAATTTAAAACCGTCGTTATTGAATTTATTCTTTCATTAACATTTGTTCTATAAGTGAAACTATGTCAAATGAGTGAATATTTCCTACCTTAGCAAGCATTGTTTTAGGATTGGGAATAAAGATAAGGATTCGTGTGTGTGTGTGTGTGTGTGTGTGTGTGTGTGTGTGTCTGTGTCTGTGTCTGTGTCTGTGTGCACGCACGCGCGCGTGTGTATACATGCACATGCATGCTAATCCTGGGGCTTGAATTCAGGGCACTATCCTTGAGCTTTGTGGCACAAGGCTAACACTCTACCAGCCACAGCTCCAGTTCGGGCTTTTTGGTACTTAATTGGAAATCAGAGTCTTGTGGCTCTTCCTGTGCTGGCCTTGATCTGTGATCCTCAGATCTCAGCTTCCAGAGTAGCTAAAATTACAGGCATAAACCAACAGTGCATGGCAAAATTCCTATTCTTAAGTGACTTTGAGGTAGTGCATTGTATTGTAAGGTACAAAAATGGACAAAATAGGATCTTTTCAATTAAGCAGCTCACTGAAAAATTTGTATGCATTAGGTCAATTCTAAAGTGGGCTGTTACACAGATTTCTGTTTCACTGGAGCCTTTAGAAAGTTCATGAGCTGACATTGTGCTGAGTGGTCCCTACCTATGCCATATTGCTTGATGGCATTGTTACTGTCTTTTGTGGAGGTAACAGCTTATACTGATATTCCATTCTGTACCAGGCACTGTGCTAGCTGCTGGAATATCAGGTGAGCAAAAGATGCTATTTCCCCAAGGAACTTATTGCTGATCAACATGACCAGGTGGTTTGGAATAAGGTATGGAGGAACAGAGCAAATAGGGGTAGTTTATCAGTCTAGAGCATGAGTTACTTACACTTTTGTGGAGTCTCAAAGACAAATGGGAAGGAAGAGGGACAAGGAAACAAGTAGAGCTCTATTTGGAGAAAATAACACTTGCACCAATATTAACATGATAAAGAGATTGCCTGTGATGGTAGTACTACAGAATTCAGCACCAGCATCTAAGCAACTAGGCCTGGTTGGGGAGCACACAGAGGACTGGGTACAGGAGCACAAGAAGCCTTCATGAAAGGCTGAGGATGCCAGTGTCAATCACATCCCGTGAACGGATGGTGTCAGGTTCTCCAGGGGATTCACAGGAAGTGAAGCGAACAGCTATGTGGTCATACCTCATCCATTCCATTAGTAGACAGACAGTGGAAGAGTTAAGTAGGGAGGGGATATGAAAATTCAAAGTTCCTAGAATAAGTAGGACAGCAGGATTGTTTTGTTTCTATAAGAGATGAAGACAGAAGACTGGAAGATGACATCTAAGGACCTGGCCATCTACATGGTGGATCATAGTCTCAGTATACTGAGGAACTTGGGAAGAGGAGGGTGGCTTGGGAAAGCAGATCATGTGTGTCCCATTTTGAATGGGTTGTATCTGACATGGTCATGGGATGAGTGCGGAAAAGTTTCCGAGAGGGTTCAGGATAAAGGTTTCTTCAACAGAAGAGAGCAGAGAAAAGAAATGTGGAGCAATATTGCTGAAAAGCTGGAAATTAAAACCTTGAAGGTAAATGTAACGAGAGAAAAAAAATCAAAAATAAAAATAAAAGGGAGCTCAAGACAGACCATATCTCTCTGCTGGCTCAGCACAAAGATGCAATCTACTTTATAATACAGCATCCTCCACTAAATCATTTTTCATTCTCCCATACTAGATTCCCCACCCGGCCCCCACCACACACATACTGTTCTCTTGCATAAGTTTTCACAGAGTTTGTCTTGGAATCCAACTAGCTGTGGATAAGCTTGTCTTTTTCTCCTAACCTGTAAACTCCTGAAGAGGAGTGGCTATACTTAATTCTGAACTATATGTGCTTTGCACAATAAAGTGCTTATTAAATCCTAGTGAAGTTGTTCTGAACTGACCATTTACCAACTATCTGTCAAGTCCTTGTAGATGATAGGTTTTATGTACATGATATTGTATAACCAGCACAATAGCACTGTGAGATGTTTGTCACTATCTGCATACACATGCTAGAGAGTAGAAGTATGAGGAACAAAGCAAATCATACAGCCAGTGAGAGGTACACTGGCGAGCATTATCTGTGTGTGCGTATCTGTGAATGTTTGTATGTGCCAGTACTGGGGTTTGAACCATGGGCCTCATGCGCTCACTTAGCTTTTTCCACTCAAGGCTGTACACTCCCCCACTTGAGCCACACACATCCCTTCTGGCTGGAGGATTTTGGAGATCCTAAGATCTCCAAGGAGATCCTCTCTCAAGAAGTTTTTTTTTTCCAGGCTAACTTTGAACTGTGATTTCCCAGATCTCTGACTCCTAAGTAGCTAGGAATACAGGTGTGAGGTACCAGTGCCCATGTAGCTTTGTATCAATAAAATACCTGAGAAAAATTGACCCGAGATGAAAAATGTATTTTGTCTCATGATTTCAGAGATTTTGGTCAGTGCTTCCTTGGTTCCATTACTTTGGAGCTATTGGAGAGGATGTGGTAGGGAAAAACTCCTCCCCCAAATTGGGGGGTAGAGAGAGAGAGAGAGAAAGAGAAAGAGAGATAGGGAGGGTGGGAGGGAGGGAGGGAGGGAGGGAGAGAGAGAGACAGAGAGAATATGAATGAGAAAAAGAAAGGAAAGGGCCATGGACAAGATAGACCTTCCCTCCAAGGCATGGCTTCAGTGACCAGCCTCCCTCAACTAGGCCCCATGACTTACTGTTTCCACCATATCATGATAGTCAACTCAACTGTGCACTCAATCGTAGATTACTTCATGGTTGAGATTAGAACCCTTGAGATCAAATCGCTTCCTAAAATCATACCTCTGGAACTTGCTACACTGAGGAGAAAGTTTTCCACATGTGTGTTTGGGGGACCCAAACTATATCAGGAGGTTAAGACCTTATTTGTACCTGGAACTATCTAACTCTAAAGCACATGCTCATTTCATTAGCGAGTAGTGAGTTCAACAACACAGTGTCTTCTCCCTTGATTCTAAAGAGTGTTTAATATTACATAATTGTTATTTAGGATAGCCAACTAAATTGGAGCAAAGAGAGCTCTTTCTTTCAGGAAGTCTGCTTTTTTATCTTTACCAGAAGGATATTTCCTTTGGTAATAACTTTGATTAAATAATAATCCAAAAGGATACTTCTTTTGGCAAGGGATTATTATTTAATCAGGGTTTTTATTTAATCCAATTTCACAGAGAATTAAGCCAAGGCACAATAAATCACAGAGGTGGTAAAATGTGGTTTCTTTCTTTTTGTCTCTCTCCTCCCCTTCCTTCATTCCTCTGCTCCCCTCTCCTTCCTTTCCCTGCTCTCTGATTTCCTCTCCTCCCTCTTCTGCTCCCCTTTCCTTACTCCAGATTCCCATTTCGGTAATAAGAGGATTCCCAAACTCAGTGCAATCGCCATTTCTTTACATCATGAAACTACTTATCACTGTATTTGTTTGCATTATTAGGTTTACTGAAAAGCCCTGTGAACAAGACTGCCCTGACTCTGATTGCTGTGAGCTCCTGCATCCTGGCCATGGTGTGTGGCACACAGATGTCCTGTCCACTTACTGTGAAGGTGACCCTTCATGTGCCAGAGCACTTCATTGCAGACGGTAAGAGCCCAGCCTCGAAGGTCCCTACCTCCCCTCCTATATACTTAGCTACTCAGCACTCTGTGTCCCTGGCTCATTAAACATTTCTTCACCTGGCCTGGCCTCACAAGTCTGTGATATACATCAAAGGGAGAAAAAATAGAAGACCCGAAACCCTGAAAGAAAACCTTACTATTTTAAGCTGTAGATGATTAGAATTACATCAACTATTGCTTTTATTCTATAAGGAAGGATAAGGCTTGTTAAATTCAGGAAGGATTCATACATGTGTTTAGAAAATAAATTAGTCAAGAGAACCTACAGGCTCTTGGTTGTGCTTCTGGATCTTGTTCAAGTTACATATGCTCCTCAAAGGTGTTCGCTCATGGAATGCATCTGGCAGAGAAAATTGTATGAGTTTTGCTGGAATGTCCTACATGTTCTGGAGAATATTCATGTCTCCTTCTCTATAAATGTATGTTACACAGATCTTCCATTTCACCAATTGTTTCTACCCACTTAAATTGAATTCATGAGACATGGTAGTCAGCATGGTCCTTAGCAAAGCATGGTACAAGGAAGTGATTGAGATGCTTGATATCCATTGCCCTGTGGAAAACCCAATTCCATTTCCATCCTCTAGCAGAGTATGCTGATTCCTGTTTTGCCAAGCATTGGGTGGCATTACTATCTTTACATTTTTTCAAATTTAGGACAAACAATATATCAAACATTATTCTAAGTACGCAACTTAATGATTCAGTTTTTTCACACTTTTAAAATGTATTTATCTTAATTCATTTGGAGATGTGTTTACCTATAAAATTGTCACTAATCTTGACACCTTAAACATAACCATCACAGTGTTTCCTCTCTCCTTTGACCATTTAATAGAAGACTATTCATCCAGCCCAAACCCATCATGTTCAGAACCTATATTCCCTTTTTAAGGAAAGCTCATCTATGTTAATTCAACCTTTGGTTACTCCCCATTTCACCATGGTGAATTGGCTTGCTTCTTTTTTAGTTGACCCATAGTAAACTCCATATTTCTTGGTTCATGTATAGTCACTTAATTTTCAGGCATACCTATATCTAGTTCAAGCCTGTCCAATCACATGTACATTATAAGCACAGGGAAACATGTGTGTGAAATGGCAAATGAAGGCAGAAGAAATAAATTCTACAGGCACAAACAGACAGGTAGGCTCATATTGCTTAGGGCTGAGAATTCCCAGGGCCTATGTAGCTAGAAAATCAGGATGGGAAAATAGGAAGGATGAACACTATGTTGGACAAAGCAAGAGTGTCGGAAATTCTGACCTCTAGAACTGTATTCCACCCCATTAGTTAATTTTTTATGCTTGTTTTTTTGATTTGGGGATACATTAGGAGTATTAAAAACTATGTATTTGTATACATAAGGAAGTGGAGATCTATAGGCAATGACTTATTCAAGGTTAAGGCAAGGTAGTTTAAAGGCTAAAAACACAGAATCTGGAATGATCCCAAATGAGAATTCCAGTGTTTGTTCTGTCTATTACATACTTCTGTAGCCAAGTGAATCACTTACTTTCCCTGTGCCTATCTCTACATCTATAATAACCTGTATCTATTACTTGGATACAATAATAATAACCTGTATCACTTACTCTTTGTCTGCCTCTGTCTCTGTATCGACAATAATTGTCTCATAGGGGTATTGTGAAGAACACAAAAGCTTCCTTTCCCATGCATACCAAGTTTTCAGATGCAATTGGCTGGAAAATAGTTAAATCAAATGCCAGCTAAGAAGGCTGCAAAGAGTCTTGGTGGTTAGACCAAATTGTGATGAATTAAAAGTTTCCTTTCCTTGGTGCCCTATTCTGACTTCTATCATAGATGCGCATTTTTTGGTAACTGCCTAATACTTAGCTGTCTGCTTCTAGACTGAAATCTCTGTGAGAGGAGGAAGTGTGTCTTTGGGGAGAAATCTCGTTATTTCTGATGGCAAGCACAGGACAGAACTGTTCATGATTCTGTGGGATTTGTCTACTGTATTTCCAAGCAAAGAGAAGCTCAGGCAAATAAAACTAAGGGCTGGGCATCATGGCACATCTGTAATCTAGCACTCAGAAAGCTGAGGCAGGAAGATCACAAGTTCCTGGCCAGCTTGGGCTGCTACACAAAGAAAGTCTTAAATGTACCTGAGCTTTGCTTCAGGCCTGTGTGAGGAGACACACAGGTACAGAAATAACTGTTGTGAAACCCAGTTTTTATTCTTGTAGACTCTAGAAAAAAATATACAAATATGCCAGGCCAGGCCACAAGGGATCACATGCCAGGATCTGTCAGGAAGCAGAAAGGGTTGAAAATGTGGGTAACCACCTATATTATGGTCTTTTATTGAAGGAAAGATGTGACAGGCCAAACAGGTTGTACAGGTTTAGGAATAACTTGTTGGCATACACTTAGTGCGTAATGGGGCTCAAGAGTCTTAGTTGCCTGGTCTCCAGGCCAGATTAGGAAAAGCATAGATTCCACAGAGAGGGAATGGGTGTCTGGTTTCTAGATTGGTTAAGGTGCATATGAAATGCATGCTCCTGGTCAAGTCTATTGTTCTCCCCACAAAGAATTAACTGGGCTCTGATGGGAAAGTGTCTCCACAGGAAGATGCAAATATTAGAACAACATGAAAATATAAAATATAAAAAATCTAGTTAACTGGAAATAATTATTAGGTCCTGGAGACGTGATGAACAAGCACAGTTCTGAGAAAGTCATCCCACTGTATCTCTTTTATTCAGCCTAATGAAATTCCCAGGACTTGCATGATGCTGTGTCTCAGTTAGGAATGTGTTCTTTCCATTGAAGTAAGCACTATTTTATAACTCAGTTCCATGTTTTAGTTACTGTCAATCATAAGTGAGTCAGGTAATCTCCCCAAGACTCCTTTTTCTCTCCTCTGTAAAATGGGGTTTGTTTTGAGAGTAATAAATAGTACAAATGTGTAAATCATGCCTAGGTGAGTGCCTAAATCTATGTATGTGCTCAGTAAATGGTAAGGTAGTAATATGCTTGTTTGTTAAACAATTCATCAAGAAAGAGACTTCAGAAACTGAGATTTGATGGGGGAAGGAAGATGGAGATAGATTAATAAGTGACCTTATCTAGTCTCAGGTGAGTGAAGGGAGTGAATGATATTCTTGCCTTCAGAATAGAACAGGAAATATGTGCGTGCCTCCCACACTTAAAGTCCTGAACACGTGAAGATTCTCAGCCTTCTGGGCATCCAAACGTATCCTGAAAGCGCCCACTTGGAGTCAGATAGATGGCGATCTGGTAGTTCCCCAGTAAAGATTTCAGGGACTCTCATGGCAGAAATTCTTACCGTTTAATTTCTTGACTCCAACAGATCACCAAAGGTGACAGATAGAGGAATTAGGATTGGCAAAGGGATAGATCTAGTCTTCTGTAGGAGTAGGAAAGGATCTAGAAAAGAACAGTCTCTTATTTGTTGTGCTAGTGGAGTTTCTAGCTCTGATTTCTAGAGCTGTCAGGCTGTTATGTAGGGGGACAAGACAGAAAGTGAGGATGATGACTCTATTCCTGGAACACTGCCATCAGCTGACATTGATATTTATAAATGTGTTGTGTTCTGTTATAAGTACAGTAACTAATACAGATGAAGATTATACATCCATCCATGCATTTGTATGTTTAGATCATAATAGAGGACTCCTAAGACCACTGGCTAGATTTATTTTAAATTTTAATAAGGTCTAGAGTCAGGATGATGGTAACTTGTCTCCAATAAAAGGAACTCCATTTGAGGCCAGATCTCCTAAGGACCCTTACCATGGCAGCTCTCATCACTTTTCTTCCTCTTTCAGGCTCTCAAAGCTACCAAAAGCTAACCCTTTCTTGGCCTTTCTTGGGAGACAGAACTCTCCAGCAACCTTAAACGTTGAGCTGTCTATGGTGCTGAAGTATTGGATGGGGTTGAGTAATGTGTCCTGTCTTCAGGAAGAAAATGAATTCTGTTGCTCTGTAGTTATACTTGATGCTTAGTTCCCATTATAGGGAAAAGGTCAGCATGACATAGCACTTGTCCAGAGACCAGCTGGCAAGAGCAATATATACTGACATAATCCCTATCCAAGTTCTTGGCACATCTCACACCTTCTCATTACCAGGATTCTTTAAGTGGCTTTTTGCCCTGTCAGGCCTACATTGAAGAGGTGAGACACATTTGCACAAGCACTCACTGAAGTTAGCACCTTGTCTCTACCTGTAATCTATACATTTGTCTGATCCCCTCAGCTAATGAATCAGACTCTGAGAGTAGATCCCAGGTATCGTTTTTTAATTTTTTTCTCTTTATTATTATTATCCTTAAATAGTTGTACAAAGCAGTTACCATTTAACAAAGCAATATCTGAACATAATATCTGAATATAACAATCAAGGTCACCCCTTTCAACATTCTCACCCATCCCTCCCCTATCCACCCTTTCCTTCATTCTCCTTAATATTGTAGGATATAAATTGGGATCTTGCCTGCATTCTCCTCCTCTTCTCTTCATTTGTCTACCTTTTTGCTATTGACCCCACCCCACTCCTTTCGAGTACCTGCTTCCTGGTGTTTATTTTGCTGAACTTTGTGTTTTGTCTTTCTAAGGAATTGCACTATTTGAGATCTCCACTGAATCTATTATAATTCAGTTAATAAATTTGTATACACTTGCACACCACCCAATATATTTACTCTTGAGTTTGTAAGCTAAATCTAGCTTGCATGTATAATGAAAAAACATGGATTCCTTGTCTCTCTGGGCCTGACTTACTCCACTCAACATATTTTTCCAATTTTTTCCATTTCTTTACAAATGGTACAATATCATTCTTTCTAATGGATGAGTGAGATTTCATTGTGCATACATATGTCACGCTTTCTTGATCTATTCCTCCACTGAGGGCATCTGGGCTGATTTCAGACCTTTGCTATGGTGAATAGTGCTGCAACAGACATGGTTGTACTG